AAAAAAAAAATATATATACATGTATATACATGTACATGTATATATCAGAGAGACATAGATAATATCTATGTCTCTGTATATATATATACTAAAAAAGTGTTATTATCTTTTTGATACCTCCAAAAATGAAAATGTTGGTATTTGCAAATGGCGTTTGCAAATGGGGTACTGTAATTTACAGATGGCGAAGTGTTTGAAAATGGTGTTTTTACAAATGGCGTAATTATCCAAACCCTCTACTTTGCAAATGGCGTCATGTAAAAATTATGTACGAAAAAAAGTAAAAAAACAAAAACAAAAATAAAATATGTACCAAAAAACTCAAATAAAAATATGTATGCAAAACTCAAATAAAATATGTATGCAAAGCTTAAAAAGAATATGTATGCAAAACTTAAAAAGAATATGTATGCAAAACTAAAAAAAGTATGAATTCAAAACTAAAAAAAAATGTATGACAAACAAAAAAAACAACAAAAATATGTACGAAAAAAAAACAAAAAAAAAGTATCAAAAACAAAAAAAAAGTTTGCAAATGTCACTTTTTGCCACCGTTCAAAATATTTTAGTACAGAAATCGTGTATTCCTAAAGTTTAAAGATGCTGCGAAAAATATCCCGTTCTGTCAGTCATTTACTTGATAACTTTTGGTGCCATGTTGAGCTCCATTTTAAATATGTAAGGAATGAATAAAATGCAGTTAATATTTTTCCCCCTCCCGTAACAACCGTTAGCCAGATGCTTTTTTAATGGGAAATCTTACATACTTCTTTAGAAAGATGAATTTTATAATGTTAAATAATGGTATCAGAGAAATGTAAGATGCTTGTTACCTGAAATAAAGTAGCGATAAAAGATGAAATTATTTGTCATAAAAGTAGTCAAAACAATGTAGTATTTGACTTTCATATAAAACATGTAAACTACTTATCACTATAACAGTACTGTACTCATCATTGTCAAAAAGCAACAGATTAAAAAGATGGTTCAGGTAAATTGGCCAATGTGTACTTTTTTGATAATAAGAACATCAAAATAAAAAAGCTGAAGAAAAACAAATAAAAGCATAATGGGCCTTTAAAATGTTATTTTTAAACCTCGGGGAGATCGATACCCCACAATCCCCTTACCCCAGTGAGAATTTTACATTATTCTGAAAAGCTCGCCTCTTAATGTGCGACTACTTAAATAGTTGATATTTTTTGACTGCCTGTACGGACTACTACTTAAAGCCGCATCTTCACCTAGTCAAGTTTCAAATGTGTCACATTTAGCTAAATGAATGGCTATTTTAACATATTATCAGGCAATTTTTTACTGAAAATGTCTTACTAAGATTACCCAGAATTTATACCTTTGTCTATGCAAAGACTATCATAGTTCTGTAAAAATGTGTAAATAACAAACGGGAAAATGATGCATTTAGCTAAAAATAATGGAGTTAATGAAAGGTGTACATTCTTTTAAAATAAATGGAAAATTTTAGAAAAACATATTTTAAGCTTAAAGCCTGCATGCCTCCAGATGAGTCAAAAATATTTCAATAAAATCAAACTTGAGAAATATGTACTTACGATTATAGGAAATGTAAAATGATTCAAGATTCAAGTAATATTTTACATGTTATGTGCGGTCAATGACTGAGTTTTCAATATTATTTTACAACTATATTCCTACTGCGTTATTAACGCATTAAGGGGCTATTTATGCATAATTTTGGTAATTTATGTAAGTTATAAGTGCCATTGATAATGTGCAAATGCTTCCTTTTGGTTATTCCACAATATTATACATTCAAATATAATTTTCATAAAATTAGCGTGAATCTGGAGGCGGCTGCATTGATACAAATTCTTTTTTTGGTGATTTATTTTGTGAAAGTTCTTACTTACTAATCAAGGACCATTTAAATCCCTATTGATTCAGGGCACATGTTTTGTGTCCATTTAATACCTTGATTTTGTTTACCATTGGCTTTGACCTACACTATATTATTTAAAACATAATGAACATAAATTTTCTCTGACCCCAAAGTGCGGTCGTTTGCCTGATATTGAAAAATGCATATGTACCTGTTTAACGCACTTTGGGGTCGAAATTGGACCCCAAAGTGCGTAACGCACTATGGGGTCCGACCCCAAAGTGCGGTGTTACAGGGCACTGTTCATGACAGATAGGATAACAGTTCAATAACTCTCACGCCCCCTATTACCGACTTAAACGGGCACTGTTCATGACAGATAGTATAACAGTTCAATAACTCTCACGCCCCCTATCACCGACTTAAACGGGTACTGATCATGACAGATAGTATAACAGTTCAATAACTCTCACGCCCCCTATTACCGACTTAAACGGGCACTGTTCATGACAGATAGTACAAGAAAAGCATTGATGCAAAGCATCAAAGGGCGTCCAAGCAAGAAATGCAACAGGTGCAGATGAACTAGTAGATATATGATGACAAGATATTCTTATAAACTTTTCAATGGTTCATTGGTTTTAACCAGAATTGTATATCACTTATGAATGAACGGACGAAAGACATTGTTCATTACTTATAACTTTGATTGGCATGCTAGAAATTAGAATATTACTTGTTATTTCTTTATGATCGTGGTTATTAATAGCAACGAATATACATGTATACAATCATTTATAATGCATATGTGTAACGCATGATCAACACCACACTTGTGTAATTGTCCCTTATTATGTTATCGCTATTAGCGAAGACCCCATCTTAAGGTATCTGTTCACACTTAGTAACAATATGACACTTGTTATATTACCATGTTGATCATGTTGAGCATAAATTGTTTATTATACAATAATTGTAATATTTATTTTAATAATAAAAAAGTACAGATTTTATGAATATTGTTTTCTTTCTTTTTTTGTGTTTTTATGCGCTATTTTAATACTGGGTTTTTACGTTTACTACTATTTTAAGAATTCAATTGTCATATTGACCGACGATTATATGTCAAAACTTAACTGGAAAAATCAGTAAACTATGGTTAATCTTTTCAATATATAATATTGTTTATTCTTAAACCATATACATGTACATTTGTATTTTTTTCTTTATCATTTTTTAAATTATCAATCAATTGAATAATTCATAAAATCTTATTTGTAACTTTGAATAATTCCTCGGCATCTTTACTAAACACGAATAACAAATTAAATAAAATGTTTCGAAGTTGATTGTGTCATATTAATGCCATAAAAATGTACATTTTTTCTCAATTATTGTACATATTTTTCGTTTTGATCTCATATAGATAAAATAAAACATGCGATTTGTGTGTTGTTTTTTTTTCGAATTGTATGTTTATGTATAATAATAATCAATAAATTTGAGAGTTGATCTGTGTTTATTAATTATTGTAACCGAACTAAGTGACAAACATTCATTTTGAAAAAAAGGGGGCTATCACCGACTGAAATGGGCAATGTTTATGGCAGATAGTATAACAGTTCAATAACTCTTACGCCCCCAGATGTTATCTGAATAGTTTCCGTCCACTTTCAATTTATGTTCTGTAATTCATACCAAATGCATTGATATGAAAAACAAGATCAACAAAGAATGTCGGCATTCAACGAACGCATCCCCAAATACAGGACAACCGGCAAGGAGTCCGGCAGGACCACAAGCAGGGCAAGGCACACGGGCAAAACACACACACACGCACGCACACGCACGCACACACATATTAACACAAACCGGACGGGATGTCATTATAAATTGTTAAAATTTGAAATAATAGAAACCCACAAAGTGACTGAAAGGGGGAAGGGCCAGAAGAACCAGGGGAATAAAAATGATAAAAACTAGAGGCAGAGGGATAACACATACTGTAGACGAGAACTTTTAAAGTTAACCTTTAGATCTACTTTTATCTGTGATAATTGTGAAGTATAAGATAAAGGGAATGTTGTGCATGGTCAGTTACATTGTAAAACAAATAGTTCGCAGTTGTTTTGACAATGCCAAGCCATTAAAAATAGTAAATATTGGAATTATTTATGTCAAAACACTGGCCATATTATAAAACTAACAAGAGCCATGTCAACATGGCCACCCCCGCCGAATGTGTTTGCTCATTGGAAGAATGTATATGTAGTAGAGCGAATAATTCCATTTTAAGAGGTCTTTTGGTAATGAAAACTAATGGCTATAGTGATTACAGATTTGAAACCTATGTGAATACTGATGGCTGAAAATAACAAAGGGCAATAACTGAAAAATAATGCAGGGTAGGTTATCATTCTTGTGTGCTGCATCCCCCTCAGTAAAATCTATCCACCTATGAAGTTTCAAGTTGATACCTCAAATACTTTTTGAGATAAGCTCTGGACAAAATAGCATGAAAAAAAAAACAACAAAGGGCAATAACTCAAAAATTGTAAAGGGAAGAGTTATCAATCTTGCGCACAACATTCCTCCTCAATAAGATCTATCCACCTATAACTTTTCATGTTGATATCTCAAACACTTTTTGAGTTATGCTCCCCTCAGGTGAAAAATTAGGTATGAAAAATAACAAAGGGCAATAACTCAAAAATTATGAAAGGTAGAGTTATCATTCTTGTGCACTGCACACCTCCTGAGTGTGATCTATGCACCTATGAAGTTTCATGTTAATATCTCATAGGTTTTTGGAGTTATGCTCTGGACAAAAATCAATTTTGAACAATAACAAAGGGCAATAACTCAAAAATCATGCAATGTAGAGTTATCTATTTCTATATCCTCCGCCGGAAATTTTCGGTGGGGGATAATAAGCACAACACATGTATACAATATATGTAACTTTTTAAAAAATTGTCAAGCCTTTACTCATTTTACTATGTTGTTTACATAGGCAAAAACAATGTCACATAATCGTAAAGTTATATCATATTCATTGATTGTTTGTAGACCTGGTAAAGATAAGACACGGTGACATGTAGACGGCGACATGTAGACCATCATGATACAGTTATGATAGATAATGACATCTCTATATCATGATGTTTCCTAAACGAGTTCTATATGTCCTATAATCATGACTGTACATTGTCAACCTTAACTTCTTACAATGGACGAAGTTACGTTAATTTTGAAATTTTGGACACTTTTGTCGGGAATTTTGCATGTTTTAGCAAATGGTAAGTAGTTTATTCATTTGACTTTAAGAATAATTATTACTGAAGTTTGTAATTAGTGACGGTGTATGATAAGGTTCTAAGGTATCAGCACCGTTTTCATGAACTATTTTTATTGTTGTTTTGTTTAATTACGGCAATCTTGGAGTTTTATTTGTTGCAAGTTATTCATCTATTCCGTGTATTTATAAGCACCCTCTCACAAAGTGGTGATTAGCTGAGGGTGGTTCTTTCCGTGAACAAGACATTCCTCATGTCTAATAAATGAAACAATTTAATGATTAACAGGGGCAGGGTAACAGTTTTGAATGTGTTTAGCTTTTAAAATTCACTACGTTTTAAAGTAAAGGTACGATTGTGCGAAAAAGGGGCGTTAGCTAAGAATTAATTCTCTCTTTCTCGCTATACAATATAAATTATAAATATTTTTCTGTTAATACAGTTTTAAATGTGTTTCAGACTGTGTAACACAACATAAAGGTTCGTGTGTAAATTACCGTTACAGTACATGTTTAGATGGTGAATATTACACACTAAATGGCTGTGGATTTGAAGAAATGTGCTGTTTCCCTCCATCCCAGATTCCCATGGTTCCTGCCTTTCTACCAAGTATGTTTCCGTTACTTTCCGTATTTCACTAAGATCAGTAATATTGTGAGCAAAGGCAGAAAAATGGCACGCTTTCAAGCTTATATCAAATTTATTTAATTCAAATAGATATTAAGTGAATTTTGTTAAATTGCTTTTTATATCATACATTTTAGAAATTGACCGTCTTTTGATAATGAAAGATAATTTCACTCCAGCCATATACTATTAGTGATAATTGATTCATACCGCAACTTTATCAAATTCAAAGTTGTTACGATATGAACTTGTCTGTGTACGAGCGTTCACATATAAACTGGTATATTCTACAGATCAATGCGGCTTGAGCACACCACAAACTGCTCATACAAACAAAATTGTTGGAGGATCTGTAGCTAAACCAGGAGAATTTCCATGGCAGGTAATATACAGAATTGTCCTCAAGGAGAGTCTATATGAATTTTAGTCAATGCAGACAACCCGAGGTGATCATTAACTTGTTGACTGTACAAAAATAGGAAAAACCTAAAGAACGCCCAAAACGGCAAATTTGAAAATGTTGCAGGCTCTGTTTAATTAAACCATGGACGTCTCACGTCACATGATAGACATTTTAGGAAAAAAGTTGAATTGTGTATATAAATGATCTGACATAAGTCATCATAAGTTAACAGAAAATTTATGACAACAGGTATCTTTACGACTTCACGATACCCATATATGTGGAGGAATTCTTGTGGACAGACACTGGGTGCTAACTGCCGCACATTGCTTCAGACAGTAAGTCTAGTCTTTGACTTTTTTTATAAAAATATTTCTTTGTGTGAATTAAGATCAGAATCTAATCTAACGTCGACAATAGCTAATGGATTCTTACACGGTTATGTTAACCAACATTTAAAGTGGGTTTTATTCTGTTTATCTACTGTGACTAAAACAGTCTGATACCGGACTAGAAGAGCATATGCATAACAATTTCGTGGCGACTTAAGTATACACTATAGCTATATTTAGAACACGTGTGCTTCAATATCATCAAAGGTTTGATGTGTTATGGACGATATGAAATAAAGTAAGACAAAAGTTAAACTGACATCTTACATATAAGCCATTGATTCAATCACGATTGTTTTATCAGGCGACTAACAAAACGGACATTTTGGTGTTACCAAAATGCCTTTTAATGATGTGTTAATGTTACGAAAAAATTCATTGTGGAAAAGAAGCTATTGTTGATGAACATTGTTGTTGAACATTTTAAAAGGAATCATTTCCCAAAGATGTGGACAGTGGTTGTTGGAGAAAATGACAGGGCATTTATTGAAGGCCAAGAGAAAATAATGAAGGTACAACTCTGATGTAATATACAAAATTGCAATGTTATGGTTATGTGTTATTTTAGATCAAACCATTGTAGTGGTTTATTTTATATCAAACCATTGAAATGTTTTGATTTATATCAAACCGTTGTAATGTGTTATTTTAGATCAAACCATTGTAATGTTTTATTTTATATCAAACCATTGTAATGTTTTATTTTATATCAAACCATTGTAATATTTTAATTTATATCAAACCATTGTAATGTGTTATTTTATATCAAACCATTGTAATGTTTTATTTCATATCAAACAATTGTAATGTTTTAATTTATATCAAACCATTGAAATGTTTTATTTTATATCAAACCATTGAATTGTTTTATTTTATGTCAAACCATTGTAATATTTTAATTTATATCAAACCATTGTAATGTGTTATTTTATATCAAACCATTGTAGTGTTTTATTTCATATCAAACCATTGTAATGTTTTTAATTTTCATCAAACCAATGAAATGTTTTAATTTATATCAAACCATTGTAATGTGTTATTTTATATCAAACCATTGTAATGTTTTATGTTATATCAAACCATTGTAATGTTTTTAATTTTCATCAAACCATTGAAATGTTTTATTTTATTTCAAACCATTATAATGTTTTAATTTATATCAAACCAATGTAATGTTTTATGTTATATCAAACCATTGTAATGTGTTATTTTATATTCTAACACGATCCGCATTTCCCCCATTGATAGAAGAACGGAAAGTGTGTGTTATTATGCATTAAAATCACAGTTTGACGTTCTATATTTAGACATTTGACGTAATCATTATACACGTGACGTAACCACTGTGATGTGACGCGCTGAAAAAAAGTACGGAAACAAATCAGGCGCAATTTAGGTTAATGTCAGGTTTGGCAGCATTTATGTGTTGTTGTCGTGTTAGAATCGAAATAACATATCCAAATCGGTGATTTTATCGCTTGATAACATCACTGTTTGTCGTTCGGATGCGCATCATAATATCACTCGGGCTACGCCCTCGTGATATAATTCCTCGCATCCGAACTCCAAACAGTGATGTTATTGAGCGATAAAATCACAGTTTGGGATATATCATTTTTTAATCAAACCACTGTAATGTTTTATTTTATATCAAACCATTGTAATGTTTTAATTTATATCAAACCATTGTAATGTGTTATTTTATATCAAACCATTGTAGTGTTTTATTACATATCAAACCATTGTAATGTTTTAATTTATATCAAACCATTGGAATGTTTTAATTTATATCAAACCATTGTAATGTTTTATTTTATATCAAAACTTGTAGTGTTTTATTTTATGTCAAACCATTGAAATGTTTTAATTTATATCAAACCTTTGTAATGCTTTATGTTATATCTAACCATTGTAATGTATTATGTTATATCAAACCATTGTAATGTTTTTGTTATATCAAACCATTGTAAAGTTATATGTTATATCAAACCGTAACAATGTTTTATGTTATATCAAACAATTGTACTGTTTTATTTATATCAAACCATTGTAATGTTTTCTGTTAGATCAAACCATTGTGTTATATGAAACCAATGTAACGGTTTATGTTATATCAAACCAATGTAATGTTTTATGTTATATCAAACCATTGAAATGTATCATTTTATATCAAACCATTACACTGTTTTATTTTATATTAAACCATTGTAATGTTTAATGTTATATCAAACCATTGTGATGTTTTATTTTATATCAAACCATTGTTATGTTTTATGTTATATCAAACCATTGTAATGTTTAATGTTATATCAAACCTTTGTCATGTTTTATTTTATATCAAACCGTTGTTATGTTTTTGTTATATCAAACCATTGTAATGTTTTATGTTATATCAAACCATTGTAATGTTTTATGTTATATCAAACCATTGTACTGTTTTACTTTATATTAAACCATTGTAATGTTTAATGTTATATCAAACCATTGTAATGTTTTATTTTATATCAAACCATTGTAATGGTTTATGTTATATCAAACCATTGTAATGCTTTATGTTATATCAAACCTTTGTCATGTTTTATTTTATATCAAACCGTTGTTATGTTTTTGTTATATCAAACCATTGTAATGTTTTATGTTATATCAAACCATTGTAATGTTTTATGTTATATCAAACCATTGTTATGTTTTTGTTATATCAAACCGTTGTAGTGTTTTTTGTTATATCAAACCGTTGTTATGTTTTATTTTATATCAAACCATAGTAATGTTTCCTGTTATATTGTAACAATTGTAATGAGTTTGTTATATCAAACCATTGTAATGTTTTATTATATCAAACCATTGTAATGTTTTTGTTATATCAGACATTGTATTCATCGAAATGTTTATTTGATATTCAACCATTATATATTTCTAACTGATATATCTTCTTGGTTTTTTGTTGTTTCACGTGTTATACAGGTAGACACGTTGTTTGTACACTCTGGTTTTGATGCTAACAATTACGTAGATGATATTGCTATGATGAAGTTGGAGGGAGATGTAGATATTAACGGGTATATACGACCAGCTTGTTTACCTCAGAAAAATGACAGCTTTCAGATGCAGACGTGTGTTATAACTGGCTGGGGAGCCGCTTTTACAGGTCAGAGCTCCTCATGTTTTGTGTAAAAGACGATATGTATTATTACCGGAAAAATCAACATGTATTTTATATAAGTACACACTTTTGATACAAAATGGACTTTCATAGGGTTTTGGTTTTTAGCTCACCTGTCAAAAAAGTGACAGGGTGAGCTTATGTGATCGCTTTTCGTCCGGCGTCTGTCCGTCGTCCGTCCGTTGTCCGTCCGTCCGTAAACTTTTACTTTAAATGACATCTCCTCATAAACCACTAAGCCAATTTCATCCAAACTTCACAGGAATGTTCCTTTGGTGGTCACCTTTAAAAATTGTTCAAAGAATTTAATTCCATGCAGAACTCTGGTTGCCATGGCAACCGAAAGAAAAAACTTTAAATATCTTCTTTAAAAAAACCCTAAGAGCTAGAGCTTAGATATTTGGCATGAAACATCTTCTAGTGAGTGTCTACCAAGTTTGTTCAAATAAAAGCCCTGGGGTCAAAATTGGCCCCGCCCCAGGGGGTCATTGATTTTCCCTATATGCATATAGTAAAAACTTAAAAAATCTTCTTTGAAAAAACCCAAATAGCTACAGTTTAGATATTAAGCATGAAACATCTTCTAGTGAGTGTCTACAAAGTTTGTTCAAATAAAAGCCCTGGGGTCAAAATTGGCCCCGCCCCGGGGGTCATTGATTTTCCTTAAATGTGTATAGCAAAAACTTAAACTCTTCTGTGAAAAAAACCAAGTAGCTAGAGTTTAGATATTAAGCATGAAACATCTTCTAGTAAGTGTCTACAAAGTTTGTTCAAATAAAAGCCCTTAGGTCAAAACTGGCCCCTTCCTAGGGGTGTCATTGTTTTTAACTATATGTGTATAGTAAAAACTTAAAAAATCTTCTTTGAAAAAACCCATTGAGCTCAGAGCTTAGATGTTTAGCATGAAACATCTTCTTATGGGTGTCTACCAAGTTTGTTCAAATAAAAGCCCTTGGACTAAAATTGGCCCTGCAACGGGGGGGGGGGGGGGAGGCCTTTATACAGGTGAGCGACCTCAGGGCCATCATGGCCCTCTTGTTTTGTCATTTTCTGACATGATGTTGTCATGTGATTTAACGAATCTTGCACTAATAATAATTTCATATAAACTTACATAAATCATGATTTCATTTACAATTACACTTATCATGATGAAATATATACTTACAATTATAATCATTTCATATATACTATATTTTATTACTGTGCAATTATTGTATATTGATAAGGTGAATATCAAAGTGTATGGACTTCTCTAATGTGATAGCAAGGTCCTTAGACTGGGATATTCACGATATTCATACAGTAAGTGTTTTATTATATCACTAAATTAAAATTCTTCATATTTGTATATATATTCAAGGGGCGACTGGGATTTTGGAAAGCATGTTTTTTTTTGTTTTTAGTCCCCTACCGGTTTACCGGAGGGGACTTTAGGTTTACCCTCCGTCCGTCTGTCCGTCTGTCTGTCCGTCCGTCAGTCAGTCCGTCCGTCTGTCCGTCCGTCAGTCCGTCCGTCCACAAAACTGGATCCCGCAATAACGCAAAAAGTACTGAAAATATTTTAATGAAACTTGATATATGGATAGATGGCAGTATGGAGATTATGCACGTTCTTTTTTTTTTCTTCCTATGTTGAAAAATTCTGGTTGCTATTGGCAACAAATAGACTGAAAATATGGCAAATTTTACACATAACCTGGATCCCGCGATAACGCAAAAAGTACTGAAAATATTTTTATGAAACTTGATATATGGATAGATGGCAGTATGGAGATTCTGCACATCTTTTTCTTTTCTTCCTATGTTGAAAATTCTGGTTGCTATGGCAACAAATAGACTGAAAATATGGCAAATTTTACACATAACCTGGATCCAGTGATGACACAAAAAGTACTGAAAATATGTTTATGAAACTTGATATATGGGTAGATGGCAGTATGGAAATTATGCACATCCTTTTCTTATTTTCCTATGTTGAAAATTCTGGTTGCTATGGCAACAAATAGACTGAATTTCAAGATTTCTGATTCTAGTTTTTAAGTTTTTTCACTATAAGTTCTTTATTTCTTAAGGTATTTTCTTCAAACTTTAAATTTAAGTTGCTTGTCATCAACCACATCATATGTGACAAAGTTTACAACTCTAGCACAAAATTTATTAGAATTACCTCCCTTGAACTTAAAATTTGCATGAAAAAAACATTGTTTCTTTTTCATAACTTCTTTTTTTGAATGTATCTACTTCAAACTTCATATAAATGTTTCTTATTATCACTCAACATTTGTGAGTGTTCAATACTCTAGCAAGACTATTTCCAGAATTATGCCCCTTTTGAACTTAGACTTTTTTTTGAGAAATTGTTAATTTTTACTCCAACTTCTTCAATCATGATAGGATTTTAAAAATGTTATATTTTGATAACAGGGATGTTTAAAAAATAACTTTAGAGTGTCATTCAGTCTGTCTGTCTGTACATAAAAACTGTTTCCTGTAATTACCTGTAAATAACTTTTTTAACAAATTTACTTAAAATAGGAACATAAGTGAATGGCCAATGGCCCTTTAGAATGTTGCTTGGGCTCTTACCGGTAGGGGACTTATGGATTGCTTGCAATACTATGATAATTGCTTGTTTTTCATCGAACGCTGGTTATAATAATATTTATCTTTGTGGGCGATGACTGTAATTGATTTTACACATTGCATTACAGCTATTTACTCGTAAGGTACTGCTCAAACATCATCAAGTGTGGAAGGAAGTATAATGAATCAACTGTTATGAATGTAATGAAACATTAGAGATTCTCCCTGTTGCGACTGACTGTCAATAGAAAGGGATGTTCACTTAAACAATGCAAGTAGTCAAAACGTCATAAAGACATGCACGAATGTAAATCTTGCATAGATTTGCTTTATGGCACTGTCTTACACTGTTGTAATTTGTTTTCAGGAGGACATGGCACGCATGCGCTGTACAAAGCTAACATCCCAGTATTAGCACAGCCAGTATGTACCTTCCTACTTGACCGAACCATTCCGGATACCATGATATGTGCTGGACTTAAACAGGGCGGTATCGACTCGTGCCAGGTCTGTGCTTTTAATTAACTGGAACATATATGTATATATACTTTAGTGATGGAGACAAATAATTAAATGCATTATAACAACTAATGATCTAGTTGGGTGATCAGGGAATGAACATACTCCACTATTATTTTCATGTTTATAATGATTTTCTAATGATGTCATTTTCAAATCATGATTGTAGCATTCATTATAAATGTATGGGACATACTTTATAGTGAAAAAAATCAATTTATTATAGTTCTGATAAAAGGCTAGTTTCAAATTTTGAAAAAAATATTGCTTGACATTTTAGTTCGCAGTAGAAAGGAAAAAAATAAGGGTGGTTGGGGACGTATCCACATGAAGTCATTCAATAATTTCTTGGTTCTACACGTAAATATGTCACAAAGTCTATTACTACGGTACTGTACGGTTCAGTGGATTTAAATGTTATGTATGGGTACTATAGAATTCTATAAAACGTGCACACATTTGTTTCCTTCCTAGTATTTCACCGAAATGAAATTCAAGAAATCAATAAATTGATACATATTGATTAAAGTTTGTATGCCAATTTGATGAATGACATTGACCTTTTGACCTATATTGTTACGTGTAAGATCATGGGTCTATGCAATTAGAAACAACTTTTTTCAATTTCCTACTGCTGTTATATGTGTACTTTAACTTATGTGGATTGTATAAGAAAGTGTAAAATCGTATTGTATCTACATAATAATTTATATATCAGTAAATGTACGAAGTTTCCATTATGTATTGTAGGGGGATAGTGGCGGACCGTTGGTATGTGAACATGGTGGTATTTATAAAGTTGCGGGGATAGTATCGTGGGGGTATAGTTGTGCGGCCAAGTACACGCCAGGAGTTTACACAAATGTTCCAAAATACATAGGCTGGATAGAATCTGTCCTTAATGCATACGATCCAGCATCGACCATCATAGGAAAACGTGACACAAATCCTGATTATTTCGTGTATAACTAAATGATATTTGGAATTATCAGGCATTGTTTATTGTCTATTCTGAAATGGAAAATTTGCTTTTCTTCATTTATTTGAGGAAGAATAAATTGTTTGCAATAGAATATTGTAATACCGGTATAACATACCTACTATTACATACACCTGACTAGGGTTTACTTTCAAATATTGTCGCCGGGCGAATCGCTTTTGAAAAGTTTTGGTATTCAAATTTTTGAGAAAATATTAATCTGTTAGCAATTCAAAAGATGTTAAGGACGTCAAGGGTTGACATTTATTTGACATTTATTCTGTCAGTTTTTTTCTTGCAACCATTACTGCTACTTATGTCTCAGTTCTCTCATAATACAACAATAAAGAACAACTCACATATTTATTTCATATAATATATATATGTACAATATGCTGTAATTATGTAAATTAACTTTTATTAGCAATCAATAAATGCTAAAAACTTAAAACATCTTGAATACACAGAAAAACAGTAAAATCTTATAAAGAGTTCGGTCATGTAAGAATTTGTGTCACAAATGATAACAACCAAAGATGGTAAAATATTGCTCTGGTACAAAATTGAAAAATATGAAAATATCACAACAAATTGCACAAATATATGAAAAAATGAACTTGTAATTTAGAAAAGAAGAACTTACAATAAAAAAATGAACTTGCTGCAAAAATGTACTTATTGTAGTGCTATAAAAACAAAGACAGAGTAATTTTTTTCATCTTGAGAAAAAAGTAATAAGAATACCAGAAAGGTAAAATAAAACAACAATTTGCAAAATGTACAAAAAAGGAATTTAAACACAAAGAAAATACAAAGAGTCAAACTTTTTTACTTGATTGGGATGGCGATTTATTGCTAGACTTTTATTTGAATGAAATTATTTGTAACATTCTACTTCTCTTTTTTAAGACTTGTGTTGTCAAGATATAAATGTATTCTTACTTATTTATTACACATTATATACAACAGGGGTGTGTGCCAAGTTTGTTATAAAATAAAACACAAAAACCAAAGAAATGAACAAATAATCAGATTTTTATGATCTGATTTATGCTAAGTTCACAATATTTTCCCTAAAGCAGTGTATAATTGTATAACTATCTATGATTATCTGGCTGATAAAGACATATTTACTTTACTTTATGTGCTGACAGAAACATAAAGTAAGATAGCCAGCCCATCTGTACACTGCACTTGTTGTTGTTTCGACATTGTCATTAAAGTTCATGATGAAATCAAAACTGCATGACACAGTGCCATGTTGTACATATAAAAAGTTCTCATTTCGAATTAATACTGAAATACAATGACTTTTAACTTTATAATTTTATAATGGTATTTCTATATTAAACTTGTTCATGTGTTTCGAGTAATGGTTTACGTTCGTCTGTTTTCTCTCTTCTTCTGGCATGTTTAGGTCGCAGTCTGTCATATGCTTGTCTTTTTGTATAGTCTAGATTTCTTACAGCAGCCCGCTCATCTTCTGACATTTTGATGTCTCTGAAAAAGAAAGTTACAGAAAAATGTTTATGCAATATATTGAAATGCATTTGTTCATAACTTTCATGGTAAAATGTATGATTGCACAATAATTTTATTACTCATCAATATAATTGATGTTTAATATTAATGTAATTACAGATTATCGCATATTACTAGTACTTATAATTGCCCTTCAAAATGTACTTTGACTTTTAGAGCTGAAGTTAGATTATACGTACATATACATATATTTAATATGTCTGATATCTGATATATTCAACAAAAGCAAGTATCAAACCAAATACATCCTCGTGTAAACTCGGCAAACTTCGTAAATATGGTTTTACCAGCGTTTACATGACAAGATATTTAAAACTTTTGGTTAACTTAATCGTTATATTCCAAGAAAAGTTACAGATTATGCCAAGCCAAATGAACTTTGTATATAATAAGAAAGAGTATGGGAGCATACTTGTCATTGAATGCCCAGGTTGTGTTAAATGTATCACCGATCCTGTACGGGGCTCTGCCCAAGAAGTGTGTCAGTGTTGATATACGATGTACAATCATTGCAAAGAACTGAATGATTAGGACAAGCCCGAAAAGCACGAGTACAACAAGCCCTGAAAAAACAAGTCAAAGATGTGAGGAAAAGCTAATTGTAAATAAGTAATGAAGAGAGCATCGTTATACTAGGCTATCTAATCGCCATATGTTTGATCCCTCTTTCTAAACACTTCCCCTATAGTCACAATATGAAACCCCAGAAAAAAATTAACCAATGTACGAACATCTGTTCATTATTCCTTTCCCAGAAAAATGTAGCCAATCAACAGTCAACAATCGTAACTGACGTGCATGTAACTAACACTGTACCTGCGCTGTGCATTAATAGGTATACGATTTAAATCCGACCCATTTGCAATAGACAGGTCTCCAATCTATGATACAAACGCAAATAGAACTTTTTGATCTACATGTTCAATAAATTAATTAGGTTATCTTGATATTGACAAATGAAGGGTTTTACAGCATATACGTTTTTGATATGCTCTATACTAAATTAAGAAAAGAGTAGCGTATAGAAGATGCTCGAATTGTCTGCTATATTTATTTCAAACTCATTACGGACTTTATAAAAGTTGTTTTTAAGAAATTGTTAAAATGGTAATAGGGAAAACACAAATCATTGTCAAGAGTACAGCTAAAATTATATATAAGCTTGATTTAGACACATTATATTCACAAATAAGTACATAACGTGTTAAGATATTCAAATATATCCGAAAGTCCCTTAGTTACAGGGTTAAAATACTTTTTTCAGGTACGACTTCTACACACACACACAACTTCACACAACTAAGAATTGTCTGTATCAGCCCTTTACAGTGTCCGGAATGTTTCAAATGATCAAATTAATAAATGAAAACATTGAGAGGTAGAGATACCTGGAGACAAAGTACAATTTGTTGAAAATCTCTGACTTGCTGTTAATGAGACTGTTTGCAAGGCAACATTGTTCACGCCCCCTAGCACCGGTATAAGTTGTACAAAAAGTTTAAGTTAAAAGTTTAGTTTAAAGTTTTAAAATCTATTATCTTGTTTGAACGGACGAATATGAATACACTTAAGCAAGCTCTGTTGGATCATGGTATTAAACGACCCTTTCTGTTGTGTTTTCTACAATCTCCGGATATTTCTTTTTTTAAACATGCTCGTATATTAAATACAACTCTTACGTATTCAATAACACAAAAATGCACGAAATATCTTGGCTTTTATTTCCTTTTTTACGGGCTCTTGATTTTTTTTCTGAATTAATGTTAAAGACTTACCAATTGGATTACTACCGAACACACTGAGGATTTTGCCTTTATCAGCTAATGTGTAAATCAGTATCATCCAAAGTGTATTAGCAACTGCAAAAATCATCAACCAGGCGTTCCTCAAACCTCCTAACTTAGCTGTAAATAAAAAGACACTCTCTTGTAAACAGTTAGTATGGAAGAGTAAAAGAGTTTCAAGTTTAATATTTAGTTTATCATGTTACATTTAATCAACCAAAGGTAGGCTTATTTTGTGCAAATAAACAAAGAAAGAGAGAAAAACAAACAGTTGAGAAGATCTGCTAGGAAGAAATGAGATACCGTGTAGAACATTATATTTCATTTAAATATCATCTCTTATTGAGAATATTCACATGTTACTGCCGATCAAATCTGTGTACTCTGAATTAATTTACTATAGCAAGGATTGTCTATCAACTCCATCAGAACTGTTGAAAGCCACCTTTTGTATAATGCACTGTTCTTTATTGTTGTCCGTAATCTAAACAATAAGACTACATTCATTTGTTTTACCTTTAAGATCATCTTCCAGTCCGAACGCTGTGGACTGCGGCATCAGACATAGGTTCTTCAATTCATTCCAGAATTCGTACTCCTCAGCATTCACTGTTTTCAGCATGTGGGCCTTCGGTACCATCAAAGCTTTCCTTACTTCCATAATCTTTAACTCACCTGAAATAGTGTGTGTATTTCCATAAAGTCTGCCTTTTAAAATGTATAGGTGAATAGCGATATTAAGAGTAATGTTATATAAAACATTGGTATTTATAAACTAGTATACTAGTAGTATTACCACCATTACATACATGTTTCTCTTAATAAACTTTAAACCACTACCACGGGGGAGGAAGTGTTACACGAAGGATGGAGTTCTTATGATAACTTGTTCAGGAGTTCTTGTGATAACTGTCACGGAGTTCGTCGGAAAACATCTGTATATACTACAGAAATACTCGTTAAAAATGGTTATTTTGATCTTTCCAAAATGAGTTTTAGGTGCTAAATTAAACTTTAATGATTAAGCTTGTCTTACATCTTGTATTATGTGTCAAAAACTAATTCACAGGCCATTTTTAATCGCCACTTGCTTCAAATCTGGTAGTTTTGAGTAAAATTTTTCAAATTATTTGCCAATTCACAAGTATTGACCTGTTTATTTCTGGTCTTCATCCTTTTCATACATAATTACCTAATTATAATGCAAAATTGCAAACATTGAGCACCGGCTAACAGATTTATAGCCGATTTTTCAAATGTTCCTGGAGTTCTTGTGATAACTTTGAAGATGTCACAGAGTTCTTATGATAACTTTTGTTATTGCAAGTGTGTTCCTTGCGCTAAATCACGGCACGTTTTAGCGTTTTTAATTATTTATTGAGATTGTAAATCATTTTGACATGTAGTACGCTCATCCTTTGCGCAAAAAAAGGATATATAACGTTTGTTTTGAGTGAATTTTAGTTCAAGAGATATTTTTTCTTTCCCCCTGTTTCTTTTTCATAGTATTCTTTTTTGTTTGACTTAGATTTCGTAGATTTGAAAAATGATTTATGTACTGGTTTCCTAGCAGTTTCCAGCCCCTAGCAGGTTTCTGGCCCTTTATCATTTTCATCCAGGTATACAGTCTATTTTTTCTCAGTACAGCATCTATGTTACTGCATCAATCAGAGAAACATTTGTTTTCTACGTAATACAGCAGTTATAATAGTACAGCGATTAATATGTTTCAGAGTTTCTCTGTTGTTTTAAGTTACATTAGAGGACTTGCGACACTTACAAGCAACACCTGGGGAATTATAGTTTGAATGCCCATGCACAATAACTGAAATCCCATTCTAGGTAAATCTAGAACCTGGAGGGACAGTTCAAATTTTGTCGAAAGATTGGTAGTTAGAGCCAACCGCAGTTGAGTTTTTATCATGTATCGTACTTTTTTAAGACATGGGTGTGGAAATTATCCTGGTTATATACTTATTTATTATGGTATAAAATGATACAAATTACTTGTCTTAGCCTTTAGGTAAGGGAAGCATGCCTATATATTGTCTGCTTAAGAAATGTGGTTGCTTAAAACATGTGAAACTGAGAACAACGTGTACGTTTTGAGACATTTTTGTTTTGTGGTTTAAGCCATTATACTGCTGAATATCAGTGGCTGCTGGTTCAATTTTACTGTAGATGATAGTCTATCACCTATTTATCCTTTGCAGACACTTGAGACCAACGTTTTATCCGCGTTTTTTGTGCAAAGGATGATCGTACTGCATTTCATAATGATTTACAATCTTATTGAATGATAATAAACGCCAAAACGTTCCGTGATTGAGCCAAAGAAACACACTAGCAATAACAAAAGTTATCATAAGAACTCTGTGACATCTTCAGAGTTATCACAAGAACTCCGGGACATTTGTAAAATCGGCTATAAATCTGTAAGCCGGTGCTTTATGTTTGCAATTTTGCATTATAAATAGGTAATTATGTAGGGAAAGGATGAAGGTCACACAAAAACCGGTCAAAACTTGTGAATTGGCAAGTAATTTGGAAATTTTACTCAAAACTACTAGATTTGAAGCAAGAGGTGATGAAAATTAGCCTGTGAATTAGTTTCTGACACATAATACAGGATGTAAGACAAGCTTAATCATTCAAGTTTAATTTAGCACCTAAAACTCATTTTGGAAAGATGAAAATAACCATTTTTGACGAGTGTTTTTGTAGTATATACAGATGTTTTCCGACGAACTCCGTGACAGTTATCACAAGAACTCCTGAACAAGTTATCATAAGAACTCCATCCTTCGTGTAACACTTCCTCCCCCGTGACTACTACTACATAATAAATATGACCCAGGAGACATAAAAAAATAAATAACTGAAGTGAAATTTAATAAATAATTTTAAACTCAATGCTCTCGAGGGATCACTTTTTATATATTTATACAAAACGATATACATTTTATAGTTAGAAAAAAACAACCTTAAAAGCATGAATACCATGGACACATGAATACAATAAGCATGTATATTTAATAGACACGTGAATATAATCGGCACGTAAATAACCATCAACAACACTTATGAAATAGACATGTGTATATAATTGACAAGTTCTGGCTTCCAAAACTTAAGCCGCTATTTAACATTTTTGTTTTTCATCTGATGCGGCATTAAAGTTTTGGATTAGACCCGTTACGAAACCTTACCAGAATAACAGAAGTTGATTTATTCTTATTCTTCACTTGCAAATACACTTGTCTCAATCAATTCTTGTGCATTTTACGATAAAACAATTATTTTAATATCGTTCTATACCAATTAAAGTATCAAAATAATAATACCGCCATTAACATTGCCTATTTAACTGTAAAACATCAATTTACGGCGATTACAGTCGGCCATGGCATTTAGGTGCCACGCGAGACCTCGTATGACGTCATTCGCGGGAACCGATTAGAATAGAGTCGTGTACTATATTTAGAACATCTTTGTTGACATGATTTCGGTGTTTTTATTCAAGATAATGTTTTTATTTATTTTCATTTATTTTTTAGTACTTTAATATGATTTTATTGAATATAAAAGTCAGTAAATCACCTTTTTCAATAGCTTTAAAAAAAGTAATTTATAAAAATATTGGAAGCACATGGGTTCGTAAAGGTCAATCTCGTAATCACGTGGTCAAACATTTTGGCAGTATGGCGGCCAAGTGCCGAAATTTTTACCTGTCGGAAACTATTATGTAGTTTATGTTCGTAATAAGATTTTTATGTGTCCATCCTTGGCTTATCAACAGATTATATATAGTTTTATCAAGGTATGCTTCACTTTACTTCATGGCATGTTCGATGAATGAATACGAGCGTGTCAGATTCCTGGCACGATTATTGGTGGACTTTCCCTACGGGGTTTTCTTCAGCGTTCACGTCATGTCATAGTATATAAACGGGTACGCTGACGACCTTAAGCTAATAATTGACACGTGAATATAATTGACACTTGAATATAATTGGCACGTAAATATGACCGACTCATATTTATATAATGCATTTGAAAGTCACTTACTCTCTGTAGGATTTCTGAGTTTCCTTATAGCATACATAAGTCGTTTGATATGTCCTGTAACAAGGTATACACGTATTTAAATATTGATGCATAAATTTACAATAATAAGCAATTCAGACGGCAAGATCTTTGTTACAAAATGTAATTTAATCTTCAAGATGTCATAAAATACAGTTTCAATAAAATTTTGTTTTGTCTTAAATTATCAAATCATTCCGAATATACTCGTATAATTAAACAAAAAACAAAATGAACACAAATAACAAAACATGAAGTGATGTTTTCTGTCTTGTTATGTTAAAGAAACATTATAATAATGCGCAATGGCTTGTTGTATGGGTTAGAAACAAACAGTTTTCTGTTTACTAGTCTTGCATTATCAAACAAACAAAGGGAAATGAAAGAAAACAAGAAATTAAAAACATTACCTGTTTTTGTTATTTTCAGTTCTTTTTCTATCTCATTTCTCCCAAATGATTTAAGAACCTCCATGTCCTTTGGTGTTTTGATTTGCTCTTTTATAAACTGACCTTTATATTTCTCCAAACCAATAATTTGTAACCATTCTTCAACGTTTGTCTTCAAAATGTTTCATAAAATTGTAATAAATAACAATATATAAGTTGTTTAAAAAGTTCATCATTACATTCTCAAAATGTTATCATTGCCATATGAAGATACAACATAAATATCCATATTGCTATATGAAGAAACAACATATATACCCACATTTCTATATGAAGAAACAACTTATATACCCACATTTCTTTATGAAGAAACAACATATATACCCACATTTCTTTATGAAGAAACAACATATATACCCACATTTCTTTATGAAGAAACAACATATATACCCACATTTCTATATGGAGAAACAACATATATACCCACATTTCTATATGAAGAAACAACATTTATACCCACATTTCTATATGAAGAAACAACATATATACCCACATTTCTATATAAAGAAACAACATTTATACCTACATTACTATATGAAGAAACAACATAGATACCCACATTTCTATATGAAGAAACAACATATATACCCACATTTCTTTATGAAGAAACAACATATATACCCACATTTCTATATGAAGAAACAACATATATACCCACATTTCTTTATGAAGAAACAACATATATACCCACATTTCTTTATGAAGAAACAACATATATACCCACATTTTTATATGAAGAAACAACATATATACCCACATTTCTTTATGAAGAAACAACATATATACCCACATTTCTATATGAAGAAACGATACACTTTAATATTGTAAACTCTTACATTATCCAAACTATTTCGCTATATTGAGAACTGTCGTGAAACATTGTGAACTCTTACATTTATAAGTTGAGAAATCGGTATATTGGGAAATGTTCACGGTTCTGCTGTAAATTCATGTATTATTTTATTAGAAGATAGATACGTACCGGTACTTCTGCTTGTATATCATAGTCGGGCAACTTTCTGATTTCCTCTAATATATATTTCTTCATGCCCTTTCCTGTTAAATTACATTATAATCCAATATATAATACGTGTTGATTCATTTACATATTTATAAACGTGTCTTAATGTTCTAAAATTAAAAAAAGTTTAAAATTTATTCATAAAATATAATTCATTATGTATACTTATTACAACTAATATTTGTCATTGCATTTTTTTTCTGTTCTAAATGTGACATTTGCAATTAAGGGATCATTTATGGATTATCAATAGTTCAATGAACTGATATACATGTATGTTATAATAGTGTTTGAAAACCAACAGTATAGAGATTGGTCCGGATCTGTAAGTTGTCTAAAGTCTTCACTGGTGGCAAAGTATGTTCTATCCGGCATTTTATAAGGTTCAAACAAATCAAACTCACTTTTAATCCCGATGTCTTTTAATTCCTTTTCTGTCATACCGGAAATCAACATTGTATTCTCAAATCCATTATCAATAAAATTTCTGGCGAATTGTTTCTGAAATCATTACAAAACAAATTATGTTCGGTTTTGTCAGTCTCACATTATATTACGCAGTCCGGAAATGATAAATTCATGGAAATCCACAAATCTACAAGTTAGAACTTAACATACGGTAAATGTCTTGAACCAAACAACAACCTCTAAATGTTACATAACATATGACCGGTTAGTGCTCCAGAACACCACTGGGCAGTCTGCGGATGTTTTACCAATTCATGCAAAATGTTGAATGCCGGTGCTAGGGGCATGGACAGTAGCTTTCACTTTTCAGGACCGTCCATGAACAAGTTCAATCAAACCCAGCTAGCAACATTTTCAATTTTTCAATGCTATAATAAAAGCGCTGCTCTGATTGGCTGATAAACGAGTATGCAAAAATACGGGTAGTGTACTGTAGACCCGGCGGTTTTTAACTCTATCTTCCTCTCAGTCGATATATCCTGTCTCAAGTTCAAAAAACTTTATATTGACTCCGGCATAAGTATATAATTAAGGGTTTAAAACTTTTCTTGCACTTTCTTAATTTAAATTATGGAAGGAAATGAAAATTTTATGTGATAATACATTATTTTACCATATCTTGTGGAAGCCAATCTTTGACATCCATAATTGTTTCGCTATCCAGTTCGTCTTCTTCATCGGCATCAGTCTCTTTTGCATATATAGCTACAATCATATCATATATAGCTACAATCATATCAAATATAGCTACAATCATATCATATATAGCTACAATCATATCATATATAGCTACAATCATATCAAATATAGCTACAATCATATCATATATAGCTACAATCATATCATATATAGCTACAATCATATCAAATAAAGCTACAATGATATCAAATATAGCTACAATTATATCATATATAGCTACAATCATATCATATAGAGCTACAATGATATCAAATATAGCTACAATCATATCATATATAGCTACAATCATATCATATGAAGCTACAATCATATCATTTATAGCTACAATCATATCATATGAAGCTACAATCATATCATTTATAGCTACAATCATATCAAATATAGCTACAATCATATCATGTATAGCTACAATCATATCATGTATAGCTACAAAAATCATATCATATATAGCAACAATCATATCGAATATAGCAACAATCATATCAAATATAGCTACAATCATATCAAATATAGCTACAATCAAATCATGTAAAGCTACAATAATATCATATAAAGCAAAAACTACATCATGTTTAGCTACAAAAATCATATCATAAAAAGCTACAATCATATTATATACTAGTATAGCTGCTACAATTATATCATATATAACAACAATCATATCAAATATAGCTGTGTTAGGCCACATGTGTCACAAATCACATTCGTCACAAGTTTTTATGAATTTGTGACGAATGTGATCACATTCGTCACAAATGACTTTTGTGACGAATGTGATTGACCAAAATCGGGTAAAAATGCCAATCACAAACGTCACAAGCAAAATTGAGAATTTTTAAACAGGCGAATCACAAATGTCACAAGTTTATTTTTCAATATGTGATACACGGAATATCATAAGGACAATCGTGGTTATATCAGTGCGATAGTACAAGGGCGACAATGCAATAAATCGATATTGTGATGTCGACATCACGATACCAATATCTTTTCACCACCATTGCATTATCGCCATCGTACTAACTTGTTGCAATATCGTATCGTCGGCATTGTATTGTCTTCATAGAACTGTCGCATTGTCGTAATGGTATTGCTATCAAGTCGTCTTACGTTCTCGAAACCTTCAAAAAATTTTGGTGACAATGCACGGCATAGTATCAGACTTCAACTGGAAGTGATCTTTTACCTCTGTGAACCCTCAAATTTCTTCCCACCATACAGCGACAGTCTAAAGGAATCTCACAGACTTAATCTTAGTTTCAGTACAAATTATGACCATATTTACACCAATGAGACCATATATGATTGTTTGGGAAGTAGCTGAGACCCCCGTTGACTTTCAGGATATCTAATTAGAGATTAGGACCTTTTGACATCAATGAACCTTTTTTGGTCTGACAGACTTTTGACTTCCGCAGACTTTCAGGAATCTTGGTTCAATTAAAGAGTATGACATTTTGACATCTAGGAACCTTCTTTCCTGAGACGATTTTGCAAGTCTGTGCCAATTGCTTGCAGACGCTCTATGGAACTTTCCATATCTATTCCACTAGTAATAATAATATAGTTAATTCGTTTAAACAGATCGTGTCTTTGTGGCGGGGCCGCTTTATCGTTTCGACGCGTCTTAGCTTTTTTCGCCTTTTATGATTAGATAGTTTCAAACGACGGTGTTTAGTGAATTTTATAGAGGATATTTGTTTGTTTTGAGTGAATATGAAATATATTTCACTGAGAAGTGAGAAAAAAAATGAAATATGTATCACGAGCGCGTAGCGCGAGTGAAAATATGAACATTTTCTCACTTCGATGTGAGATATAGTTCATATTCACGAAAAGCAAACACATTTTCTTTTTATTTTATGTGCCTTTTGAAAAGTGCTTTTAGACCGTTTACTACTGAAGCGCGGAGACTACGCGCGCGTAAACAATATGACGGCAAACGTTAACGCTGCAAGCAAAATAATCCTTATTTATTTATATTTCTTTTTGCGGTCTCATTGTCAACAATCTTACAAAATTACGGACATTTGAATCGAGAAATATGTCATTTAGAATGAAATTAAACAGTTATTTTTAATGCATGTTTAGGGAATCCAGACTTATAAATACGTACGCAGAGTGGGCGTGGCTTATATCACCCAAATCTATATCACCACACTGTGACTGATATAATATGAATATATTTCATTGATAGAACAGTATTTCATTAGTTAGCATCAAATAAATATAGGATATTACATGAGTGTCTTTTCATATTGAATTTATTAAACGAGTTTGATAAAATAATAAATTGCGAGGCTCTGCCGAGCATTTTATTATTTTATTCAACGAGTTTAATAAATTCAATGTTAAAAGACACGAATGTAATATTCTTTTTATCACAGGTAAACTTTTGCCGCCGAAAAAGCGAAAACTTGTCGTTATTTTCCCTTATAAGCGCGGTAAAATTAAGCAACGTCCGCTAACGTAGATAGATATTTTATTTCCTTCAGTATACATGAAGAGCACGTCAAAACGATATTACACTAGTGTAATATGGAAAATATGTAATGGCTTTATTCCACTCCCGCGAACTTCAAACGTGATAAATAATTATTTTGTAGTTAAATGCTGAAAAGTGTTGTGTAATACAGAATGTTGTTGCGCGACTGTATAGTACAGAACGTTATTAAACATATCAAGTAGGATAGCATGTAAGTTGTAATGTAATGTAATATTATCGTGTAGCAATTCAAAATATTGAAAAGGACGCATAATCAAACATTACGAATTGTGTTATATGTCCACACGGTTTCAATAAAACACTTTGTTGCTGATTTACGCCGTGTCTTTTTTGTTTCGTTTCTTCGCCGCGAAGATTAGAAAAAAACGAAAAACCGGAGACACGACAAATCCACAGTTTGTCGTATCTTCGCTTCTTTTTTTTTCTATTTCTTGCAGCGAAGAAATGAAATACGTCAGAATAAATGCGACAATACAGAGATAAAATGTGCCGTGTTTCCGCCCTAAATCTGTCGTATCTTTGATGTTTCGTTGTCCTTGCCAGGCAGATCAGGAAAAGACGAAGGCACGACAAAATCACAGTTTGTCTTATCTTCGCATTTTCGTTTTTTCTAATCTTTGCAGCGAAGAAACGAACACACGATAGAATAAATGCAACAATGCGGCAGATAAAATGTGTCGTGTTTTAGCCTTTAAGCTGTCGTATATTCGGTTTTTTTTTTCGCTTCTACGTATTCGATTTTACGTTTCTTTGTTGTTTTTTAATTCAGTTCTTCGTGTCCCGGTTTTACAAGCGCATACGCACATCAACTACAAAATAATGAAAAGATACTTTATATTGTGATCGCTATATTCCTTCATTGTAGTAAATGCATATGTGTAGTTGATGTGCGCATGCCCCTGTAAAACCGGAACGCTAAAAAACGGGACTCTAAAGCCTTAGCGGTCCGTCGGCACTTCAAAAGAGATCAAAAACCATCAAAAGCGATCCGCCGCGAGCCGTCATGTCATTTAATCATGACACGCCCCAAAAACAAAGTCTGCAATGTAGTGGACCAATCAGCGATTGAGTTATGTTAAATTCAGGTTCACTGGTAACTATGCCGGCAAACATTAAAGAAGATTCCAAAAGTCTCTTTCGGCATTTTTGATGTCACATGTCCTCTTCCTCAAGTTTCATTTGGAAGCAGGCCTTGCATTCAACAGGTCACGCTGAAGGAGTTCCAAAGGTAACTGTTAAATTATTTAATTTTTAGAGTAAAATAGCACCCTTTCCGTATAACTGATGTCTCTAATATTTCATTTTAGATCTCCTTTACGAATAGAAGAGCTTTATATATATATGTCCATTCGGCGTCGGTGTAAGAGGAGCGCAGTGTTTATTTTTTGCTTGTTACTTGACCACTGAACATATTCAATTGAAACTTCACACATGTGTATGGAATGAAAATGAAGACCAATAACTCCGTTATGCATTTTGATTGAATCATGCCCCTTTTTGGACTTGACAGATTATACTATCAAGCACTGAGAAAAGTTGACAGTTGTTTTTATTAAGCTTTCCGACTTGTTTACATTTTATGCATATATATAATTTATATATTGCGCGCCTGCCTGTTTTGTCGTCGGAGCTTTTTAGGGCCTGGCATAATATAGCATTAGGGTTATTAAATGTGCATTTTCTGCTTTGCAATATATGATGATGATTTATGCCCGAATTGTGTACAATTGCAAAAAAATGAAACCTCTTAAAAATATGTTTTCATTTTTTTCTATTTCAGGTACAAGCCTTTGCATCAAATAGGTCAGCTTAGACCAAATATAACCAAAAGTTGAACTATGTCCACCGAGGTAAGCAGAAGATTTTTTTTGATATACAATAAATATAACATGCCTCTTTGAAACTCCCATAGCGTTACGTGCGTTGCTACAAGTAAATATTTATAGGTTATTTAGCTTGTATTTCGATATATGCACGAGTTTTGAGCGCAATATCATACCGCGGAAGAACGAGTGCATATATCGAAATTCAAGCTAAATAACCTTTTTATTATTTAAGAAATGAATTGATTTTTTTCGGAGTTTATGCGAAATGAACAACAAAATGTGATCGGCAAATACATGAATCGCGCTAGCGATTCTTGGTTAGTTTGCCGATCACATTTTGTTGTTCATTTCGCATAAATTCAGAAAAAAATAATTTCATTTCTTATATTTACATTAAATTACTGTCCGTTTCATTAAAATAAATTATTTGAAAAATAACCCAGTTTGTTAAAATTAAAACATTTGAATGCGCTTTCCGACTAAAAAGATCAACAGACAGAACAGCGTCGACGTCATAAATGGAACGTTCTCCCTGACTATACGCGGACGTCGTCAAAACATCACTAAGCAGGAATGACGTTATTTTGGCGCCTTTACAGTTTGAAGTTTATACGAAATGAACGTCAAAATTTTCAATAGAAAAGTATAGGGTGAATGTAAATATATGTCTGTAT